CAATTAAATAAAATAAATCCTAAAAAACTGTTAATATGAATGTGCATTATCTTTTTTTTATTTTTATTTTTTTATTTTTTTGACAGGCAGAGTGGACAGTGAGAGAGAGAGAGAGACAGAGAGAAAGGTCTTCCTTTTGCTGTTGGTTCACCCTCCAATGGCCACCGCAGCTGGCGCGCTGCGGCGGGCGCACCGTGCTGATCCGATGGCAGGAGCCAGGTACTTATCCTGGTCTCCCATCGGTTGCAGGGCCCAAGCACTTGGGCCATCCTCCACTGCACTCCCTGGCCACAGCAGAGAGCTGGCCTGGAAGAGGGGCAACCGGGACTAGAACCCGGTGTGCCGGCGCCGCAAGGCGGAGGATTAGCCTTGTGAGCCGCGGCGCTGGCCCTGCATTATCTTTTAATTCCATTTTTGAACTTTCTGAAGTACCCTCATACAAGTAATCAGGAATATTTATGGTAAGGTAGAAATTTAACAAAATAGATTGGGGCATATGGAAAGTGGAAGGATTTGTAGATACATGAAGGACTAATGATTAATTCAGCAGAGTGAGATGAGCAAAAGTAAGAAATATGTAGGGGTAAATTGTTAGGAATGATGGACGTAGCATCTGGTTAGGAGTGACTTGTGCAAAACTGACAAATAGGACATATAAATGCTAGTTAGTTGAATACAAGTTGGGCACAGAGAGTTTGACTTCTTACCAACTAAAGAGAAAGGTGTATATTTTGTCGCAGTTGGGAAAGATGCAGCCCAGTTACAGATTCCCCACACTGTTTTAAAAATCAGTAAATACCAACTAATAAGCTAAAGCCTGAATCTGACTACTATTTTAAGGTGCCTAATTGCGTCTTCATTTAGGTCACTGTCTTTTGTGAAGAATAATTGTAAACATAATATCTGTTTGTTGTAGAAAAATTGGAAAGTAATAAATGGAGAAAAAATTTTTGTTAGCGTGCCCCAAATCACAGTAAAACTTGTATATAATTTTAGTTAATTCCATTACTTAACTTTTAAATGGTCTCTTTAGGGCCTATATGTATGCGTAAGTATATACCAAGTATATGTGTATATTATTTGTGTTTGTGTATATATATAGTATGCATATGAAATATATTTCGTAAATATTTATTTGAAATGCAAAGTGACAGATCCTCTATACACTTTTACTCCCTAGATGGGTGCAATGCCTGAGGCTGGGCCAGGTCTAAGCCAGGAGTCACGAACTCCATGTGGGTGTAGGTGGCAAGGTCCCAAGTCCTTGGGCCATCATCTGCTGCTTTCTCAGGCAGCATTAGCAGGGAGCTGGATTGGAAGTGTGCTAGTCAGGATTCAAGCTGGTGTTCCAATTTGGGATGCCTGCCTTGCAGGCAGTGGCCTAATCTGCTGTGCTACAGCTCTAGCCCCTGCATGTGAAATATTTTTGTTCTTTCATTTAAAATTATAAATGTTTCCTGATGCTAGTAATCGCCTTAAAATGATAGTGATTATGCAGCAGTTTATTTTGAGAATAACCTTTAAAACTATTTAACTCCTATTTAAATATTTAGGCTTTCATTTTTATTAATATTTGTAGTGGACCTCTCAAATGAAAATCTTTTGAGTGGATCTCATTTTCTTTGGAGAGTTGTAACTAACTTTCATTGCAGTCTGTCTCTAGTAATTTTTCTTACAAAATTCATTCATTCTACCGGTCTTCTTTAGTACAAAAGAATTCCAGTTTTATAGCTTAGCATATTGGCAGTGTTGGAGACTATATTTCTTAGCCTTCTAAAGGACTAAGAAATGGATTATGAGGTTTAGGCTGAAATATGAGAGTTTGTCCCTACTGCCTGCAGTGTGAGTAAATAATATTAGTGTGGAATTCCCATTGCCTTCTTGGCACGAGGCAAGAGTGGATGGTAGAGTAAGATGGAACTTGGCCCCAGTACTTGGAGTAGAGCTGTCGTATTAGCCTTTGTCTGTTTCTGGACATTTATGTCAGAAGAATATGTTTGTTTTCCCTTCTCTTGTTTAAGTCTGTTTTTGATTATTATTAAATTATTATATTATTAAATTATTATATTATGTTTTTTGGGGGGGTGATATAATCCTAGTTTAAGGATGTCATTGATTAAAGTCTCTGTCTGGTAATATGTTAATATAGTAAATCAAATAGAAGGAATGATGCACTGTGTCATGGTAGAATCTAGGTCTCTGTTGAAAACCGACATCCATTTTGAGACTGAAGAGATACTATTTGGTGTTGAAAGAAAGTACTTAAAGTGATACAGGAAGTACATAGTTTCTACAACTATTTGGTAATTATGTTGCTGATTTTTTTTCACAAATGCTTTTAATAATTACAAAAATATTTGAGAAAAAACTTGATTGCTTTTAGACAAAAAACAAGATAAAACATTAATGTTTATATATTGTATTCCATCAGAATAATGGAGCTCTAAGAATTAATATTAAATGTCTTGGAGAGTCACTTTGATGAGGTCTGTTCGTGATTTTAACTTTTTAAAAAATGTTTTTATTTATTTGAAAGAGTTACAGAGAGAGGCAAAGAAAGGCAGAAAGAGAGAGAGAGAGAGAGGTCTTCCATCTGCTGGTTCACTCCCCAAAAGGCCACAACGGCTGGAGTTGAGCCGATCCGAAGTCAGGAGCCAGGAGCTTCTTCCTGGTCTCCCACTTGTTTCAGGAGCCTTTTAATTATATTATCTTTGTTGGAAAATTTTTGGTATGAAAGTTTAAAAAATTTTTATGATTATAAACTTACTGTTTTTCCATGTTTTAAGAAAGTTACTTTTAATTTCAGTAAAATAATGAATACATGTTTTTTTATTTTTTTGACAGGCAGAGTGGACAGTGAGAGAGAGTCAGAGAGAAAGGTCTTCCTTTGCCGTTGGTTCACCCTCCAATGGCCGCTGCAGCTGGCGTGCTGCGGCCGGTGCACCGCACTGATCCGAAGGCAGGAGCCAGGTGCTTCTCCTGGTCTCCCATGGGGTGAAGGGCCTAAGCACTTGGGCCATCCTCCACTGCACTCCCGGGCCACAGCAGAGAGCTGGCCTGGAAGAGGAGCAACCGGGACAGAATCCGGCGCCCCAACCGGGACTAGAACCCGTTGTGCTGGCACCGCAGGTGGAGGATTAGCCTAGTGAGCCACAGCGCCAGCCATAATACATGTTAAAAGTTAGATTATTTTAAAGCAGTTTTCGGCTTACAGTGATATTTTTTCTGAGGTTTATTTTCATATTTTTTATTTGAAAGGCAGACAGAAGCACAGAGATCTTCCTCTGTTTCATTCCCAACATGCCTGCAGCAGCCATTGCTGGACCAGGCCAAAGTCAGGAAACTGGACCTCCATCTGGGTCTCCCATACGAGTGTTAGGAACCCAAGTGCCATTGCCTGCTGCCACCAAGGATGTGCATCAGCAGGAAGCTGGGTGGAAGTGGAATATCTGGGACTCAAGCCAGCCACTCTAATAGGGCATGACAGCAACCCAAGCAGTAAATTAACTGCTGTGCCAGATACCTGTCCTGGTTTATGTAAATACTGAGCAGAAGGTATAGAAAGTTCTCAAATACCTCTTCTCCCAAGGATAACTTTTTTATCCTGGATATTTCACTATGTATAATGTGTGTAAAAATTGCTACACGGTCCTTGAGTCAAATGTGTATTGTTTGGAAAAATTGTCCACTAGAAGTCATTTTACTCTAACCCAGGATTTCTCATGCATTGCACTAAAAATATTTTGGGTCAGATAATTCTTAGTGGTGGGGGGCTGTTACAGATGTGTAGCAGCATTTCTTACCTCTACCCACCATATACCACTTTGCAGTCAAGACAACACAGATGTCTCCTGACATTGCTAAATGTTTCTTGGGGGGAGAAAATCACCTCTAGTTGAACCATTGCTCTACCCCATATGCCGTGTTTTGGAATTCTCTTTATTTTTTAAGTTGGGTCCAAATTTAAGGGCTGTCTAGTTCAGTGAATTGATGCTGAAGTTGTGTAGATAGACTGAATCTTTCCTGCGACATTTATAGTCTTACTGAGCCTCAGTTTCCTTGATTGTAAAATAGGCAAATTATGCATACTGCATAACTTAAAAGCTTGTGAAAATTTATTAAAATAGGTTATATAAAATGCTCTGATTGGTGCAGGTGTTGGGTACAGCATTTAAGATGCTGCTTGAGATGGCTGCATCCTATATTAGAGTACATGAGTTCAAATCCTGGCTATGCTCCCAATTCCAACTTCCTCCTAATGCACACCTTAGGAATCAGCAGGTAGATGGCTCAAGTAATTAAGATCCTGCCACCCATGCTGAAGACCTGGATTGAGTTCTGGGCTTTGGCCTAGGCTATCCTAGTGAGCCAGAGGATGGAAGATTTCTGTCTTTCAAAACAATGAAAATAAAAACTTTGATTAATATTTTCTTTTCTTCAAGTATTTCTGTATTGTTTGCATTTAACTCTTAGCAGTGTCCAAAATCCGTTAGAGTTTTTTCTTGTGGGAAAAGATATGATAGTTTAAGATATAGATTTCAGGAATGCTGTACTTTGGGAAGATAATATTTAGAAAAATGTTACATGAAGACTGATTTATGAGGTCAGTTATGTTTTGATCCCTTCTGGTACTTTAATTAGGTTATGATTATGTTCAAATTCTAAGTGTTAAGTGTTCTCATCATGTCCACTCAAGGACTTTGAGCTTTCCAAATTGAAGGTAGCATTAGATGTCATCCAATCATTGTTTCCCTTCAAAGTTTTATATTCATATCTGAAATTCTGCCAGTCGTAACAAATTGTGTGTCAATTCCAGTGGAGGTAACTGGACTCTTGTTAGACTAAGTTTAAACTTAGTCTAATAAAGATTTCTAGAAACTTGATACAACTTATAGCTAATAATATCCACTTCCTATTGCTATTTTGCAGAATTACAAAGCATTGTCCACTAATGAATTAAATTCCATCTTTATAATTAAAGTTATTATTTTTCCTTGCAGAAAATTTCTGATGAGTTGATGAAGACAGGAAAGACTGTCATAAAGACTGTAGCAGTATTGTACTGTAAGTATCTCTTTGAAAAAGAAGTGTAAATTAAGAATATTTTCTGTGTCTAGTTGCTTAAAGGAAAATATGTCAGGCTAAGAAAGTATATATAACATATAGAAGAGGATATATTACAATTATGTTAATAATTTATGAGAACTAATCTTATGCAGTCTTTTAAAAATTGCAAATGTATTCTTATGTATTGATATGAAGATTTTTTCCACAGCATTGAAAAATATTTCTAATTCTAACAAGAATTGATCTAGTTTATGTACCTTTGCTTATTTAAAACTCTCAGAATCCAGAAAATCATTGTAGTTTTGTAGGTTGTGATTTGTTTGGGTGGCTTATTGTTTAGGTTATTTTGCAGAATTATTTATTTGCTGATTTATTTATGTATTTCATTATTTATTTATTTGATTATTTAGTAAATTATTTATCTGTTGAATTATTAATACATCTTCATGACATGCTTTAAATTATTTATAACTTAATTTTGAGTTTATTGCTTTTAGACGCTGCATTGTTACTGACTAGTTTTGATTTTTTTTCTTTGTGGTTCTTAAAAATTAAAGTATTAGCTTTAAGGCAAGAATATGTTCATTGCAATGCCCATGGATATTTTTTTGTAATTTATGGTAGAGATATAATTTCAGTTTTGCTTTGTTTAGCTTTGAATTTACTGATTGAGGGTTACTGGTGACAGAATATTTGTGGGTTGTGTGCAAACTCAGTGTAGAGTTACTTACAAATTAATGATTTAGCCTATCATCTGTAAACAGAGATTAAACATGTAAACCTCAGTCCACATTATCCTTTGTATTTCCAAAGGGCAGGTCTGAATTTCCCACTTACTTGAGAGTAAATAATGGACTTTTGGTTATATTGTTTTAGTGGCACCTCTGTTTAACAACTGGACTATTTTTAGGAAAGTTCAAAGACATGAAGTTCAACTTGCATTTGGATCCTTGTGAGAGAAATTTGACTGATAGATTCAGTCCCCATTAAATGGATATTTGGAAAACAACATGATGTATCTATAGGTTTTTCTGTCAGTCATAATGACATATTTCCTATCTCTTATGGAAAATTTTATTTTAATGAACTAAAATGGACAAAGATATTTATAAATATGAAATATAGTTTCTTTGATTTTAGCTTATAATTCTTTTATATAAAGTTTCTATTTTTAACCAAGTAAGATCATTTCTCCTAACTATTTCATAACATAGTACACTTATTAGCGCTCTTTTATTGAATGGTTTAATGAATAGGTTAAAGTAGTTATTTGGGTACAAGAGTGCGAAGTGCACAACATGGTCTTTATTTTGTGTTTTCTTGCAGTGAATTATTATGTACTTTACAGTTGTAACACTTCAGAGAGAAGCTGCATTGTACATTTCAAGTTGAGTTGCTATTGAAATATAGTGAAAATGGCCTCTGTAGACAGGTTTCACTATAGAATTGTAAATTATGTATATATCCCCGAATTTCTTGTTTTGAAATATTGAATATATGAATATTTAATTAGAATGTTGCCTTAGTATCTTCATATGCTTGCCTTAAAGAATGTATTTTCCTTTGATTTGTATACTTGGATTTAGAAGTGTGTTTTCCACAAGTGTCTGTGACTTTCTGGAGATGAACAAACACAGATATTGTTAGAGATGGAAGTTTTTTTTCAATGTGTTTTTGTATGCTAGTTTGGTCTTTTGAAGAAAAAAAGCTGCCTTCTTTAATGTTGAATAAGATCTATATTAGCTGCAGTGAAAATCTACCGAGTTTACACTATGAACATATTTGTAGAGTGTTAACTGTGTCATCTGAGTGATTTTTTTCCTTTGAAGGCACACATATGTGTGCATATACATGCAAGCACAACATATGAAGTTTCTTCTGACATCAAAATAAGTTTTTAGGACTTGTGTTTGAAAAGAGACATTAATGTAGACTATTATAATGATGGTTAACATAATTGAGTTCTTAACTGCAGACATGGTCTGCAGACATGGTGCTTTTATCTTTGACATGGGTTGTTTGTTGATTTTCTCACTGTGGTAAGTACTGTTAGCTTCATTTTCATGATGGTGAAGTAAAGATAGTAAGAAACGTGCTCATTGCTACACAGCTGAGAATAATTGGTGGTTCTGGAGTTAGTGCTAATTTACTTGGACTTAAGAGCCTTTCTTCTTAGCTTATAAGAGCTTTTAAAGACTAGATAGTACAATGTAATTGTTTAATTTTTAAACTCTTTTTAGAGAATATAGTTAATTTGATAGGTTTAATTTGCTAAGTATACTCATTTATTTTGTGTTACACTTAGTCATCTTTCTTAAAAAATAGACAGGTATTTGAGTGTGAATTTTCTGATTTCATTCTTGTAATCCTGCATAGTTTAGCAAATATATAGAAAAGTAGAATTTGTTCCTTGGAGAGATTGTGTGTTTGCCTGGGAATTTTCCAACATTTAGATCAGATCTTTTGATTGTTGAGTCAAAGACCATTTCCAGGGTTCTTATTAGGTCAAATCTGATTTCCTTATGACAATATCATCAGGATCAGATACATTTCTATGTTATTAAAAGCATGATAAATTGCCTGATGCTTAGACTTTTATAGAAATGATCACAAACTTTCTATTAAATTAACCTTGAATATAGTGTTTAGTACACAGTTAGGCATTTTATTCCATGGCTGAAAAAGACCAGAAAGTAACCAATTCTAATTTTAAATGATTCGATGTAATTATTTAAAAGAATCTGGAAAGCCTCAGAGATAAGGAAAGACTGTGACTTTAGTGTGCGGCTAAGAGGAAAGGGTCTTGCCAGTCATATTTGCTACTTGAAGAGAGAAGGAAGCCTGTGTGGTAGATCTTAAATAAATACAGGAAACATATAAGGAAACATGAATTAGGTGGCAACAGAGTTTGGGTGATTTTGGTCTGAATGCCATTAAGTAACCACTTTTGTGTGAATGGCAAGGTATTAAGCAAATCACTTTAAAAAATAGAAAACTTTTTCAAGTATACAATATTATATCATAACATCTGTGAAATACATGATTTAGTAACATGAAATACTGCAATAGCTAGAATGATCATATAATTTGTCTTTTAATCCAGGGTAGGTTTGATAGTGAAAGCTTGTACTGTTACATATCTGGACATTAACCAGTACCTTCTTGTGACACACTTCTGTGATCACACTAGGAATATCTCAACTTCCTATTGAGTGATTCCTGATAGTCTTGTGTGGTATATATTTAACAAAAAAATCTTTTTTTAAAAAAAAAAGATTTTATTTATTTATTTAAGAGGTAGAGTTACAGTGAGAGGGAGAGACAGAGAAAGGTCTTCCGTCCACTGGTTCACTCCCTGAATGGCCGCAACAACCAGAGCTGCGCCGATCCGAAGCCAGGAACCAGGTGCTTCCTCCCGGTCTCCCATATGGGTGCAGGGGCCTAAGGACTTGGGCCATCTTCCACTGCTTTCCCAGGCCACAGCAGAGAGCTGGATTGGAAAAGAAGCAGCTGAGACTAGAACCAGCGCCCATATGGGATGCTGGCGCTGCTGACGAAGAATTAACCTACTATTCCATGGTGCCGGCCCCTAACAAAAAATCTTAATTCATAGGCAATATCTTTAAGAATATTTTCTTCTATGAGAAAACAAACTATGTATTTTTGTTAGCCAACCAGGGCAGCTGTAGGTGTGACTTTAAGTAAAGGTAACTGATGTTTTACAGTTTTTGGAACCTATATTAAATGAAAATAATAGTATTACAATTGGAAACAGAAAGATAAGTAGGCAGAATTCATTTTACTGGATAGTTCTGAAGTCTTTGTTCATATCACACATTATAGAATTTTTGGTTTGCCTTGTAAATCTTTTAATTGATAGCGTGATGGACATTGTAGTGAGAGATAATGCTATTAGAATTTATAATTTCCTATTGGATGACCTAGTGATCTTTTTTTCCCCTTTAAAATCTGTATTACATTTCATATATTGATAAGGTTGACAGTTTTAGTAAAAGCATTGTCAAAAATGGTTATTTCCTTGGTGAAATTCTGTGTGGGAAAATAGAAATGCCTAGGAGATAATAGCTTATTTTTTTGTGTGTAGCTTTCTTTTTGATATCCTCTTTATGTATTTATCTGACATGATAACTTGCATTATTAAAGTCATAATTGGATTATACAATTTTAATTTCTAGTTTATTTGTGTTTAGACCATAGATGAATTACTAAATTGGACCAGGTACCTGTAGTGGTATATTTATATGTATATGTGCATTATAAAGTTAGAAAAATTCTGATTTAGTGATTGTTATTCATATAGGTAATACCAGAATCAATTTTGTTCAGAAAGGCCTATTATGCCTTGTAACAAAGGAAAACATTATCTGTATATTTTTCCTCAAATTTGTCACAGTGTGAAGCACTTCCTGAAATACTACATAGTTGTAAGAATAATATGGCTTGTGTGTTGGCTCTGAGAGTAACTCCTTTATAATTAGGACAAGTAAAAGTACAACCAAAGGTCATGTTCGATGCAACGTTTCTTTGATGCCTCATTTGTTCTGTGGATTTCATGTGAAATGGTTGAATCCTTGCACTGATGCTGTAGGACAGCCACCAAGCTTGTCTCTCTTATGGAGGTGATTCACATCTTTCCTTTACCACTTACCAACACTTAGCATGAGTATATATTTTAATTCTGGAATAATTAAATATAACCTTCTTAAATTGAGATTGCAAAATTAAAAAAAGAGGACCGTGTTATACTTCAGGGGTTTTTAGGTCATTAAACAGTACCAACATATACGAGCTTTAATGTGTAGTCTGAATACTGATCCTAGTTTTGATGTTGCTGACTGAAACAGTAAAAGCTATACAACATTAGCAGCAAAAGCAAAACAGAAAGTACCATTTTACAGATTAAATGGTCATGGCCTCCCAATGACTATGTAATCTACTGATGTGATCCTAGATTTGATTTCATTGTGACTTCCTATATGAAAATTAGAGTATTAACAAGGTCATGTATAGAGAAGGTTTCTATTTTTAAAAAGGGAACATACGTATGTTTAGAAAAGCGTGTACATATGTTCTGTTGGAAGAGGATAACATTGCAAGTTTTAATGTCTACTGTAACTGAAAAAATATTTCCCTTAAAATTTCTTTATGCTCTTTTCCTACCCTCACTTTCTTACTATAAAGCTTCTAGTGTAATGGTTTTCAGACATTACTGCTATGCCATAATTAAATTAATAGGAATGTTTTTCCTTGTTAAAATAGTTGGGGAAGTATTTGTCATTTAATAGATAGGGATCATGGATTATAGGTATCCTACAATGCAGGGAACAGTTTCAGACCACAAACTATCCAGAGTACCACAGAATATTTGTTTTTGAAACTTTTTATATATTTGAGAGGCCGAGGAGGAGGACTGCAGTGGTTGGGCTGGGTTGACTGAAACAGGAGCTGAGAACACAGTCGAGGTGTCTCATGTGAGTAGAAGAGGCCCGATTACTTGAAATATCACTTGCTGCTTCCCGGCATGTACATTAACAGGAGACGAATCTGAGCATTGAACTTGGATATGGCATGCAGGCATCCTAACTGGCTTCATTGGGTGAATTTACTAATCCGGGACTATTGCAGAACATGAAAACCCTTCTCTAAGAGTTCACAGGGAACTTTGGCCCATGCTTGCTGCCTTGGACCGCAAAGATGGTCTGCCTCTTGCCTCAAGCCACCAATTGGAGCCTGGGGACTGGGTATGGGTAAAGAGACGTAATGCTAAGACAGTAGAACCCAGGTGGAAAGGGCCTTATACTGTTGTGCTTGTCATCCCTACTGCTATAAAGGTGGACGGGATAGCGCCCTGGCTGCATCACTGTCACGTTAGAAGAGCGTCAGGACCAGAAGCTGAAGCAGCGGCGCAAGAATGGACAGTTAGTCGAAACCAAGAGAATCCACTCAAGCTACGTCTGAACAAACGGGGAGCGGGGACAGTGCCAGAGGAGGAAACTGAGCCACCCTACTGCCACGATCGTCTCACTAAAGGCCTTCTAGGAACAGCGGGACTCGGAGGTCGGTATCACTCCGTGGTCAATGCCTTCCTAGTTCATTGAAGGGGACTAAAAGCCGTGGGGCCCTATGTCTGTAAGTGACTGATTCAGCAGGTGAATTGGATTCCCACTGCTTGTCAGCTACTGTTTAATTATTAATTACAGATTTATAGTTATTAATGTGTGACTCAACTCCTAATAAGCATAGGGTTATAGCTTTATAAGAGTAGGATGATGTTCTAGATAGATAGGGACAGGATTATAAACTGTTAAAGGTGGATTGTTAAGCCCCCTATTGACTATAGAAATGTATTGCTGTGCTACCAAGATGTTATGTGTGTTTCTAAGTGCAGTGATTCTGCTCGCTCAAAGCAGTCAACAAAACCAACCCCAGCCCTACCTATGGAAACTGATGAGGTTTGAGGGAACTTCAGCGGTGGATGTGGTCCAAACTAAGACGGGGCCAGCTGGGGGCAATATAACATTTTTTGTAACCACCTGTCAGGTGGTCCCGGTCCAAGGGTGTAGGAGTGGTACTGCTCCCGCAGTGTTCTATATGTGCCCCAGGCGAACTGTATCAACTTGTAATGACCCTAGCCACTACTTTTGTCCTTCATGGGGTTGCGAGACAATAGCGCCCTCTTGGTTGGAAGAAAAGGGAGGGAGAGATCCCAATATCAAGGTACATTGGTGGCCGGACACTTGTCACCCCCCGGGTACCCCCTACAAGGGGCCGATAGGTGCCCCAATAAAACTATGTAGCACAGTCATGATCAATGTAATTAACCCATCTGACAGTAAGTGGGACCAAGAAATGATGTGGGGATTAAGGTATTTGGAAGATGGAATAGACCGGGGAGGATATTTCACTATACAGAGATTCAAAATGCAGGGATAAATGCAAGCGGTCGGTCCTAACAAAGCCCTTTTTCCTTGAAAGGGAATAAGCGGCCCAGACCACCACTCCAGCCCCTGGCACCAGTGCTCCAGCCTTGTTCCCTTCCTCTACTGGGGGCACTTCTCAAGCTCCCACTCCAAGGCCAACAGCCCCTTAAACACAACCACTGTGGGCCCTGCTACAGTCTGTATATCAGGCTTTTAATGCTACTAATCCCAATGTGACCCAGGCTTGTTGGCTTTGTTATGACATGCAATTGCCCTTTTATGAGGCTGTGGGGACCATGGGGAACTATAGTGTTACCCGGAATCCACGGGAGTGTCGGTGGGAGCAGAAAGCACAGACAGGAGTAACCATACAATTAATCATTGGAAAAGGGTTGTGCATCGGTCAGGTAAACGGCCGAAGCCCCCCCCTGCAACCAGTCCCAGCCCATGACCCAGGAGTGATACTTTCTACCCCCAAACAACAGCAGGTGGGCATGTTCAGAGTCGGGACTTACTCCCTGTTTCAGTGGCAAAATAGCCAGTCAGTCCAAGGAATATTGTGTGTTGGTTCAGGTATTTCCCAAAGTCTACTATCACCCGGTGGACGAAGTGCTAAATTTAATTGAGATAAGTAGCCATTTAGAAAACCCTCGTAAACATAAAAGAGAAGTGTTCACAGCATTACAGTGGCCACCTTATTTGGATTGGGAATCGCCGGGACGGGCACTGGAATAGCCTCTTTGGTCCAGCAAAACCACTACTTCTCCGGCTTGAGGGCAGCCATAGATGTAGACATTGAAAGGATAGAACCTTCCATCTCCCATTTGGAAAAGTCCCTCACTTCCCTAGCGGAGGTGGTCCTACAGACCAGATGAGGACTGGTCCTCCTTTTCCTCCAGCAAGGCGGATTGTGTGCCACGTTGGAGGAAGAGTGCTGTTTTTATGCCGACCATACAGGGGTAGTACGCGACTCAGTGGCTAAAGTGTGGGAAGGCCTAGCTACAAGGAAAAAGGATCACGAACAACGAGAAGGATGGTTTGTCCTGGTTCAATTTCTCCCCTTGGCTGACTACCTTGGTGTCATCTCTAGCAGGGCCACTTGTAATCTTACTACTTTTGCCAACCTTTGGACCATGCATCTTCAACAGGCTAGTGACTTAAAAAGGACAAAGTCAACGCTGTCCAAATCCTGATACTACGCGAGGACTATGGGCCTATTCCGCATGAGGAGGATTCCTCATACTACAAGAGAAAGGGGGGCATGTGGGATGAGAGAATGCCTAGGACTACCTGTTGCTGAGTATCAATTGCTTTTTCTGCTTCTGTACTGCGCTGCTTACGTAATAACTAATGTAGGACACTCCAGCTAAGGGAAAGAGGACAATTGTACCTCCATGACAGGCTTCACAAGCCCCTAGAGAACGGGAAGGCCCAATTCTTGGAAACAAACCTCAGTGAACAACTCCTGGAATTGACGGCCCCCATTTCCCTTGTGTGACGCGTAGTCCTCAAGCTGCTGAGATACACCAAAAAATGTCCAGATTGAGGTAGAATAAAGAAGTAGCCTGCGTGTGTAGTGACGTATGTGCTTGTTTACTCGAGTGTATAAAATGCTGGCAAGGGGAGGGACGGAGCTTCTCGCTGAGCACTGTGCTGCGTCGTGTGTGCCGGTGAGAGCCCCAGCTAGCTGGCAATAAAAATCCTCTTGCTGTTGCATCTCTGACTGTCTTTTGTGAGTTATTTGGGAAAAGTCTCAAGGTCTGGAATCCAACAGCTTCTTAACTGTTAGACCAAACACACACCCTACCACATGTATTTCCAATGTCTACTTTATTATCAGTACCCTTTAAAAATGAATTAGTAATGCTTCAGTGTATTAATACTGACAATTTTTAAAATAAAGTATTACAGGCTAGCGCCGCAGCTCACTAGGCTAATCCTCCGCCTGCAGCGCCGGCACTCCGGGTTCTAGTCCTGGTTGGGGCACCGGTTCTGTCCTGGTTGCTCCTCTTCCAGTCCAGCTCTCTGCTGTGGCCCGGGAAGGCAGTGGAGGATGGCCCAAGTGCTTGGGTCCCTGCACCTGCATGGGAGACCAGGAGGAAGCACCTGGCTCCTGGCCTTGGATTGGCGCAGTGCCGGCCGTGGCGGCCATTTGGGGGGGTGAACCAACGGAAGGAAGACCTTTCTCTCTGTCTCTCTCTCTGTCTCTCACTAACTCTGCCTGTCAAAAAAAAAAAAAAAAAAGTATTACATAAAGTGTTACATTAGCGAGAATTTGCAAGGAAGAGAAACTAGTAAGTTATCAAAATTACTGTGTAGTTTACTTCACAGATGCTTTCTACTTCTTAATTTATAGGATTTCTAACTAGATATGGTTGGTTGAACAATTTTCAATTTAGTAATGTGGTTACTAGAAGCTCAACAATATGTTGCAGATACGTAACCGAAGATATTTTAAAAATTTAGCAACACTTAACTTGAAATTAGTGTATCTGTGTATGAACAAGGATTGTTTAAAAATATTTTTATGTCATCCTGAATATTAAGATTTCAATTTTTGTAATAATGATAGTAAATGCATGTTCGTTATTTTTATTTTAATTTTTAGTATTTTTCTGATAGTCTCCAGTAATCTGGTATACAATGTCTCTCAGCTTTTTGTGTTGACGTTTCTTTACCCAGTCTGTTCTCTGTTTTCTGTTTTAGGAGGATATGGTTTCTGTTGCATATTTGAGTGCTAGAGATTTAACGTGTATATGCCTTTTCAATGTAGTAGGATATCTGGGATAGATTGCAACCACAGTGTCCCATGTCTTAGCAGAGCTGATTATTTTGATGCCACACTTGGAAATAAAATCCAGCTCAATCACATGAATACCACGTTTCATCATTTTCTCCATTTTAACAATCTGTAATGTGTCTTGATGTTTTATTCATTAAACTTGTTTCTTTCAATTTAACTTTTGTTTTCCATCATTTATCTCAACACTGATTTTTTATTCTAGTGTTCTAATATCTCTCTCTTATTTTCTTGAGCTTTGTAGAGAATGACTTAAAATTTTCTTTCTTTTCTAAGATCCAAAAATTATTCATTATATATAAATGCAGTTAGATGACTGTTTTATTCTCTCTTCTTTAGTAACTATGGCTAAACATTTACATAATGAAATAAATATTTCATATAAGTTATCTTTTTTTATTTGACAGAGTTAGTGAGAGAGAGGGAGACAGAAAGGTCTTCCTTCCGTTGGTTCACCCTCCAAATGGCTGCTACAGCCCGATTTACGCCGATCCAAAGCCAGGAGTCAGGTGCTTCTTCCTGGTCTCCCACGAGGGTGCAGGTGCCCAAGCACTTGGGCCATCCTCCACTGCCTTCCCGGGCCACAGCAGAGAGCTGGACTGGAAGAGGAGCAACCAGGACTAGAACCAGCATCCATATGGGATGCCAGCGCCGCAGGCGGAGGATTAACCAAATGAGCCACGGCTCCGGCCCCATAAGTTATTTTTTGTATATATTTAGAAAACTCATTTCTAGAAATTCTATGTATAGTTATTTTTTTCCTTCTGTAAGTTTCATTTCAGCATAGTACAGGGATTGAAAGGTTTGTTGCCTTGTGATGTAGTGGGTTACCTGTCCTGGCTGCTCCACTTCTAATCCAGCTCTCTGCTAGTGCACCTGGGAAAGTAGCAGAGGATGGTCCAAGTACTTGGGCCCCTTCACTCACATGGAAGACCTGGAAGAAGCTCCTGGCTTCTGCCTAGGTGAGCCCTGACCTTTGGGGCCATTTGGGGAGTGAGCCAGCAGAAGGAAGATACTCACCCCCTGTCTCTGTCTCTTTCCCCTCCCCTTCACTGTAACTTTGCCTTTCAAATAAATAATCTTAAAAAAAAAAAAAAAAGAGAATCTTTGTTCTAGAAATGTGTACTTGTTTCTGAAGACAATCCCACTTGTGTGCTTAAAAAGATACTTCCAGACTAGATTGGAACTTCCTATATAGATGAGAAAAATAGTGAAGAGTTTGTGTTGAATTAAATATCATCTCAGTGTAAATACTCTTCTAGTTAGGAATATAGGAGATTACTTACTTCTTTAATATTACCTAAGTAGAAATCAGTTGCATATCAAGGTATTGTGAT